CTGAGCCGCGCTCTGCTCCGCAGGCCCCGGGACGATGACTGTCCAGTGGACCGCGGTTGCCGCCTTCCTGTACGGCGAAATCGGAGTGATCCTGGTGCTCTGCCTGCCGTTTATTTCTCCGCTGAGGTAGGGCTTCAGCGGGCTGCGCCACCCCCGCTCCGTCTTCCCGCCGGTTTGTCTTTATTTTACATTTTTGTTGTTACGCACCGAGTTCTGCTGCATCTTAAACTAGCGGTGAGCTAAGCTGGAGGGATGCTGTTCGGGGCTCGAGCGTCAGGGGTTTCACCGCAAGCCCCTGCTAAGAGCCGCCCGCTTGCTGTGCGCACACTGCTGATTCATCCCGGCGGCAGCCGGGGTCCCCACGACGAGCCCCGTCGCTTGGCTTCAGCGAGCGGGACGACACGGGCCGTCGCCTGCGGTCATCTCTCGAGTGCTTGGAGCAGCCAGCGTACGGGAGGGCATCTGGCTGTCCCGGGTGTCAGCTCAGCAAGGAACGAGAGGATGGGGCGGCCTGTTGGGGAGTTGTTTGTCAGCAGCCCTGCGATGTCTGGGTGTGCGCTGGGCATTGTGGGTGCTGAGCAGAGAAGAGAGATCTCGTACCCAAAGCTAACGGCGTGCAGCCGGGGTACGGGCTGTGAGAAACTGCTGATCGTTGGTTTGGAAGAGATGCGGACTTGAGCTTGATGCAAAGGTTCAGGACTACTGAAATCTAGGCCTCTATAAGCTTATACATAGATTAACAATGATACTTCTGGAACACAACACAAACATTAAGAAGAGCAATTCATTTGTGTAAAATAAATGCTCTTAGTGAGGGAAAGAAACAAAATGTGTTAATTACTCTTACTGTATGCAAAGGCCTGGCTTACAGCATTATTTTAAGATTGTTTCCTGTAAGTAGCTCTTCAAATTCGGTAATGTTATTTTTATATCTTTATAGGAAGTAAAGCTAGCTTCTCTACAGGAGGCAAGAGAAACAGAGTTATGATTTCTTTCTAGAATATCAATAATTCTTAAACCCCAAAACTCCCAAGCAGGATGAAACCTTAAAGCTTTTCAAAATAATTGCTGTGGTCTCAGTGTGTTACATGTTTGATTTCTGCATCTTTGGATATATTTAGAATGAAGAATATAGCTTTTACTGTAATATCATAAGCAACAAAACCTAAAACAAAACCCTGTTAAATTTAACTACTTAAACCTGGAGGGGAGTCTTGAAAGTGGTTGGATTCTCCACAGCCGGTATCAATGATTATTAGCGAGGTTTCCTCAACTTCAGAAGGTGAAACTATTCTAAAATATAATTTAAACTCTTGATTTTTAGAAGCTGGCTTGTGAGGAGTTCAGCATTTCAATGTAGATTATTGACTTCTCGTATTTTCTGTTGTTTTCTATCAGAAGTACAGCTGTATGTAAGATGGGAGAAGTATTATGGAAGTTGTAATTGTCAGGTTATTGATGGCTTGTCTGAGGAAACTAGCTGCAAGAACTTCTGCAGGCTGATGACACATGCGCAGTGCATTGGGAGTATTGAAATAGGTTTCATTTACAATGTAAATAGGACTTAAATCCAGTCTTTGTGGCTGGAAAGCAAATTTGTAACCTGTAGAGTTACCAAAATTTATTCAAACACTAAACACGGTGCTTTTAATCATATGCCAAGGATAGATTTTGCTCTTGGTTTGTAGTATTCAGTCATTTTTTGAATAGAGGTTTCTGAAAGAGTGAAATAGCTTAATCTTTTATGTGACATGTTCAATTATCTTGTTAACAAGACTGTCGCAGGAATCTTGTGGGGTTAAAGATTAGATTTAGCTGCTGTGACAGTGCTGGAGGGCAGCAGTTCTGCCTTGTGCATCTTGGTGGCCTGGGAGCTGGTTCTGTCAAAGTGGTAAAGCATGGGTGATTAAAGACAGACATGTAACTGCTGTTCTTTAAAGGTTTGATTTACTCACTTGTTAGTCTTCAAACACTGCCTGTTTTGTGCCTGCACATTTTTTGGATAATGAACTCCTTTTCAAATTTGCTGACAAACTTTTAAGTTTCCTCAGAATAAGTAAATTGACAAGATAAAAATGCAAGTATGCAAAAAGACAGAACTGCACTGCCAAGTGTGGTATGTCTATAGTGGTGGCCAGTATTATAATTAGGAAGAATTATATTTGTGTAACTTCTGTCACCAAAAGTAAATGCAGCGTTAATAAATGTGAATGTCGATACTTGTTGAGGAAAAATAAGCATAAAAATATAACACAGGAAAACGTTGCAGTGAAGAGATCGTATTTTTAGCCTGAATATAACTTGTCAGTATAGTTCGTCTAAGGTCATACCTCAGAGAATCGCTTCTTAAGTGGAGATCAGTATGAAATTTGGAGAATGTGCATTTGAAGAGTTAGCAAGTTGTCTTTGTTTGAGTTGTAGCTTGGTTTATATTAAAGTAAGCTTCTTGGTTGATACAGACTATGGCTGCCTACTGTAAAGAATTCAGATTATACTGAAAGATTTAAATGAGGTTTGTGCACGTGCAATGCTATAATATTTTAATTCTTGCTGGTGCAGAACCAGAAGGAGCCATTGGAGATGATGCCACAGTCAAATTAGATTCATAGTAGGTTGGAAATTGCTTTGTTAAAGGACAAATTTTAACAGTGTCTGAAAAATGTAAATACTCTTAAAAAAAGTTGGAAATTTTACCCTATGTAATCAGATGGTGACTAGCATGACTTTGTTACATCCCTAATGGCATAGCTAGGTATTCATTTTTGCAGTAGCTCTGATTCTAACTTGCAGCAAAGGACAAGCAGCTGCTCTGTTGTTGCCTCTGGTGGATTTCAGTTCACCTGAGCACATCAGATGTTCTTCATTGGTGCTGCAAGGGTGAATTCTTGCAGAGCCCTCCATGCTGTAATACTGAATAGACAATTGATTGTTTAAACAAAAAAAAATTATGCTACTCACCACCACTGGGCCTCTGAAGTTGCTTTCTTAGCTAATAAGTTTATGCTCTTGAAACAGGTTTTAACACTCAACAAAATAAAAGCATGAGACTTGGCCTTTTGTTGTCATTTGCAAGTTAGAATGTAATAACAATCCTTGTACTTTGATGAGTCTGCATAATTACAATGTGAAAGATAAGCCTTCTGAAGAAGGCTAATAGAGACAATCTTAATTTGTGGAGGGTTTTTATTTTATTTGGCAATAAGGAGTATAAGTGGATAGAAATAAAAATGATGGAATGATTTTACAGTCTTTACCCCATCCCTGAGTTTACTGTAGTCAGGACCGAACACAAAATAATGCTAACCAAGGTAAAAGCTAAAATAAAATGCATCCAGAGAGTACCTGCTATCATGTGAGAAGTTTTCAAGCTGAACAAACTGTTTTTGCCTGTATTGACAAGAAACAAAAAAACAGACAAGCAAGTTGGATTATTGGAGAAGTTACATATACCTAAATTATGTTGCAATTAAAGCAGCTGTTTAGAGACCTTGCGTAAGTCTCATATCAACAACAAGGCTCTCTTCTGTGAGATTATTATGCTCTTCTTTTAGTGTTTAATTATTGTTGAATAACACAATGCTATTTTACAGATGGCAGAAGATTTTTATGTTTCCTCTATGGAGCAAAATGGCAGTTTTTTGGAACAAGATATTCCTTACGATAATAGTTTTGCTGATCGTCTTGTTTCTTGGTAAGTGTTAAATAATTTCCTAACAAATGGGGAAAAAAGACCTGGTATATGGAGTTCATGGCAGTAGATTAATTGAAAGGATTCAAGCCTAATGTAAATCAGCTAATTTGTTTGAAAGTTCCAAGACAGAATGGAAGAGAAGAGGGCTTATACAGCGTCCGTGTTGGGAATCCAAATGCAATAGTAATATAGTAGTGAATGAGGAGGAAAAATGGAGTTTGGTCTAGGCTGCTGCTTGGTTTCACTTTCTCACACAAGTAAATGAAGTTGAAATGTTTGATACCAGATTTTGGCTGAGCTGCTCAGTCTGCAGTAGATGGCACTCTTTCTCTTGGTTGCTGTTGAAATAGAAGACCAGAAGAATATGCCAAAGCAGTGGGCTATTTGAGTACTTTTGCTCAGCTCAGATATGAAACAGCTGTTGGCTGCATTTGTGATGAGTAGATCCTAAGGTCTGTCAAGTAGGAGTAAAGCTTTAGGGAAACTGGAGCTTGAATGATGACCACAGTCCTGACTGATTTCATTTAATGTTCTGTCCTGACTGCATTGTACGGTAAGCGTCTCCCATATTTCAGTGAAGGAAATAGTTCTCATGCATTTCAGTGGTAGAGGTAGTTCTCCTCCATGGATAGGAGTGCAGTGTTTCCAGTGCCTTAGAGTGAAGAAGCTATTTCATTCCGAACTACTTTAAATACAAAGAAAAAATGCTTGGTTTTATTCTCTGTTGAGAGAAACCTGCAGATGCACTGTGTATATAACAAAGTCAGACTGGAGTGCAATACTGTATTCCTGATGATTAAAAATACTGAAAATGCAAATACACTTTTTTTTTTTTAATTTTAGATGATCTTTAGTATTATCCTTGGAAGTAGATCCTTCAGTAAGTGGCTTAAGATTGAGAACTGATGGATTTCATTCACTCTTCTTGAACTCCCGTCCAAAACTTTGACCGAAGATTGCTTTTGAGTTGGTGATAGTCATTGATTTTCCAGAAAGAGAGATTTGGGCTAAAGTAAAGCAGTGATGAGATGCTTGCCACGTTGCATAAGATGATAGGTTACTGCAGGACTAGAATCTTCTATAGCACAGGGATATGGACTTTTGTTTGGTCTTAGTCTTTGTTGCATTGTTTGAAGTTTCACTTCAAATCTTTTTTTTTTTTTCCTCCTAAATAACTTATGGATATAAAGGAGAGAGTCCTAAGAGATGTTATTGACACATGCTCTTCTTTGGAGTTGACTTTGTCTACGTAGATATATCAGCAGCAATTTCATAACACATGGCCAAAATATTCTGCAAGAACTGATGATGTTTCATGAAATGTGTATTTTTGTTGATGTGCAGGAGGAGATTTTGGGTGCTGTATTGGCCTTAAGTATGTGTGATGACCTTAAGTTTACAGATTGTAATATGAACCCTTAACTGGGTTAGGTTTTGTTTTTATGTGGATGGAAGTCCTAATTAATTATTTTGTCCTTTGAAAAGTGTTGGCAGTGTATTGGCCCTTCTGCAGAACTATCAGGAGTATATGATGGATGAAAGGAAGCTGAAAGATGGATGAAAGAAAGCTGAGGTGTAGCTTAGTCCCTCTGTTCTGTTTGTTTTCAACACTGTGTTCCTGCAGTCTTACTGTTGTGGTGGATGTTATAGAAATAATTTTTTCCCTCTGTGATTCAAGAATAAAGTAGACATTTCTGTCGTTACTAAAATACGTACTTACCTAACGAATTCTGTCTGAGGCAAATACTTCAGACGGAATTTCTTCTTTTTCCCTTCTCGTTCTGTTTTCTCACTGTTTGTCCACTGGCTGGATTTTAATTCAGTTGTCAGCAGGGACATTTTGACACTGTCTGTAGGGTCTCTGGTAACATTCGTAGAATGTGTTGCTTTGGCCTGATCCCTGGTGGCTGGGCGCAAGTGTTGGAAATGACTGTTCAAGCATGTTTTGGGCAATGGTTTGGCATATCTCTGGAAATGTGTTACATCACTTCAGTGATTTATCAAGACCTATCTTTAGAATGTATAGATAACATAAGTGTTGTCACTATTTGTTCTGTGCCTGCTTGCTGAGCAGAAGTCCAAATACATATTTCTATTAGTATGTCTGGTTTATCATATGTGCATACCCGCAGATGTGAATAATAACAAACTGTTTTTGTTTGCAGATGCTGTTAGAGAAGTTAGGAAGTATTCGTCCATTCATGTGCATGAAAACTCTGCAAATGTCAATACCAATGTCTTTGATCATATTCAGATGAAACTCTTCTTTCGCAAAGAAACCTTTATCTCTCAGGTTTTTCCTTATTTCTTTGGCTGTAAGTATAACATTTTTCTGATTTCTACATAGCGTGTTTCCTGCAGGAACTATTGCACAAAATAATGCAACTATAAAAAAGATTGAAAGGCCAATTTCAAGAGATTAAAGAATTAAGTGTGAGCAGATTGGCTATGAGGCAAGTAAAATCAAGGAAAATAATATCTTACAAATGTTTGAAGATTGGAAGAATATGTGAGCAACACATGGAAAGAAACATTGTGAATGTTTGAGTCAACCTGTATTTTGCAGGAGAAGTTTCTTCAGGGAATACTCATTTCCTTCTTTAAACTTATGCACTGTGTTTTGTTTGTTTTGAACATGGGAAACTGGAATAAAAATACCTCAAACTAAAATACTGTTAAAATAATATGTTACAATTATTTTATAATATAATATAATTATATTGTATATATAATAATATGTTGCAATTATTGCATACTGCTATGTTAAGAAGCAAAGCTTGAGTCTCACTTGAACCACTTCATCTAAAGCTCGAAGTTAGGAACTGTAGGATAATGTTCCAGCTTCTGAGGAAAGTTTCAGATATTATTTCAGATCAAGCACTTTGTGGCAACTGGCCTACTATGATATTACGATCTTAAGTGTGATATCCTTCTCAGGATGTTTAAACACAGCTAATAAAACAGGGTAATGGAAAGGACAGTTCTGTACTGCCCAGCAGTAGCAGCTAAGACTACCTGTGAATCTTCACAGTAGCCACAACAACTTGCAGATCTTCTCAGTTGGGCAAGGAGCACATGAACTAGTTGGACACAGATAATGTGAATGAATGGAAACAGGCATGCTGGTCAGATGATTTCCGATTTCTACATTTTTATGGTGACACTGGGCAAAGAATGTTGGCCCTGAATTCCTTCAGTGAGCTGCCTGACATTGCCTAGATATGTGAGAGGAACACAGAACAAGGGGATGCCTGGAATCACAGACATTTCTGACAAACTTCTTCCCTTTGGAGTGATATATGGCCATTTTAGCTGCTTATTGAGCAGCATCGTACATAAAGAAGTATCAAGGAAAAATTTGTACAAAACTTGAGCAGAAAAACTTTGGAAAAAATGAAGGTGGCTTTAGCCTTGCACAATAGTGATAGGAATGCATCATGTTCTTTGTCTTTCTTCAGAAAGGTTAAGTAAATACGCACAAATATGTTTGTGATCTCTGCTCCAAGAGAGGAATATCTGGATTGTGTCCTACATTAGAGTTGGAAGCTGCTCCCCCAGGATCCTACTTGCACTTGGCTTTCAAGGAAGAAAAGATCCTGGTAGACAGCCGATCATGTACTGAGCTGTAATAGCAAGGATGTAGCCAGCAGGTCAAGAGAAGTGGTTATTCCCCTCTGTCTGGCACATGGTTCTGCAGCTGCAGGGCCATGTCCAGTTTTGACTCCCCAAAATACTGGAGTACTGCAGCAGGGTACCGAAAAGCTTGGAGGCTGAAACATGTGACCTATGAGGAGAGAGAGAATGTGGGAGCTGGAATTCAGCCAGAAAATACTGAAGGGGAGATCCTATTGCTTTCTGCATCTATCTAGTGGTAGGATGTAGAGAAGATGAAGCCAGCTCTTCTCAGTGGATCCACATAGGAATGACGAGGCAACAGGCTAGGAACCTGGGAAATTCTGACTTGTGGTAAAAAGTACTTTTTCTACTCTCAAGAGCAGTCAAACATTGGAACAAGGACCCTGAAAGATGATAGAAGCTCCATCATTGGAGGCGGTGGGGATTCAACTGGACAAGCCTCTGAGCAGTCTGCTCTGCCTGTCCTTGCTCTGGGCAGGAGCTTGGGCAGGATGACCTCTGTAAGCCCTTCTCAACCTACGTGATTCTGTGATTCTGTTTTAGTAACGGTGTTTTACTGACTCCTGACTGCTGTATCTATAAATTAATAAGCAATAGTAAAACACGCTAACCCTTGGAAAACTAGTGACATGGGGACCTTGACTTCTTTATTAAAACCAAAAAAGTAAGAAAATCAGCTTTCAATGAAAAAGCAGGGAGGAGGGCTTACCTTGAAAGCCAAAAGGTCTATTAATACGCTTACAGTTATGAAAAAGCCAATTACCTGGATTTTCAAATTTCTTTTGAAGGGCAGCTGCATAGCTATATTACAGGAATTAAGTTAATTCAGCATTGCTTTGGCCTTTCCTTGATTCAGTAGCATGCTGCTTTGAAGGACTTCAAGATGGATAATGAAAATAGTGATGCAAAGAGGTAATCACTAGATCAAGAGAGGTATTTGCAAAGCTTAGATTTGAGGTGCCATATGAGTGCTAACAGTCGTGCATGTTCTGATTTATACAATATTGACAGAGTACTTTGAAGATTAATATGGTCACATTGCTAATTTTATTATTGTAAAGCCTTTTATAAAGTTGTGTTGATTTTTCTTTCTGCATTGTATTCATTGCCATAACATGTTGCTTGGGTCTTGTATTCAGAGATCCATCCTATTTAAAACACTAGTAGAATATTTCAGCCTTTAAGTGAGCAGGTCTCTGACCCCTTAATGGCTGTGGGCTTTTAGGAGGACGGAGGTTCTGCATCAGGTGAAAATCAGATTTTTGATGGATGAAAATCTCTTCAGTCTCTTGTTTTGCTATTATTTGTCATCGCTGAGCCTGGATGTTTTGCTTCGGGTGCTTAAACAGTTGTCTTGTGTTTTTGTTTTCACATGTAATGCAAAAAGAGAGAAAAGGGGTTGTTTTGGTTTGATTTTGGGTTTGGTTTTCTTTTTTTTAATTTGTGCTGTGAATTACTGTGCTGTTCACTGTGTTTCTTCACCAGTGTATTGAGACGTACTGTTACCCTTCTTACTCAGTTGGCAAAAGGGATGGCATCTCATGCAGCTCTGGAAACGCAAGTAAACAATGCTACTGAAGCAGCCAAAAAATACATGGCCGAGAATGAAAGGCTGCAGGAGGTATCTTTGAACTTTTTTAGATATATTCGTATACAGCAAGTAGCTAGTACAAAATACTCTGGGGATGGTTTGCTACTGCATAATGTTTGTTTGTTTTTTCTACTGGTAATAAAAGGAAGAGTGATGTTCTCACAATACGTAATTCAGAATACTGGATCCAAATTTCAGCAGCATTTTATTAACAAAGGAAATAGAAGTAGTCCATATAAACGAAGTTCTGTCTTTCAACTACAAATTTCATCAAAGTAGTAATATATTCTTAAAATACCTTTAATCGTAGCAAAGTAGAGAGACACTAGTTTTATTGCTTTTATCCTGAATAGTTGGCTGTTCAGGTCAGGGCTATAGCAGTCCAGTACAGAAAAGCCTACAATATAGCTGTTCTTATGCTGGCTGTTTCTTCCAAATAGGATTTGCTCCAGTCCTGAAATGTCTTTTCTGACTTTTAAAATTGGTCTTCTGTATTTGTTGTGTTTTGTGTTCTTGCATCTGTTTTTCTGGCAGGTCAGCTAATTTCCTAAAAGTTTCCTTTCTCAGTAATGTACTGCCATAGCATTAGTGAGGATATTACCGATAATTTCCTAGTAAAAGAACCACCAATGGACCAAAGATACATGATTTTTATGAGAAGAATGGAGAAAATTAAGCTATCCTTTGTCTGCTGTGGTTCAATATACAGTGGTATGCAGGAAGGGAAGTCAGCAAAGGTAATAAAGATAAATGTATGAAATTTTTTTTCCTAATTGGTTAGTTTGACTTCTCTGGGAAGAGACTGAACCATAAGCTAGAGTGCAGATATCCGGGGCGTGAAGACTTTTACAGCATTCTTCAGTCTAGCACATTGCCAAAACAAAATTCACTGCAGGTGTGTACAGGTTTCCTTCCAGTTTGTCTGGAGCAGTGTCTATGGTTACCAGCACTGTAATTTTTTTTGTAATAAATCTTCAGACAAAAAAGAACAGACTCTGAACAAGAAGTACTAGAAGGGATGCAAAAAAAATCCAGTTGTTTGAGAGGTGGTGTAAAACAAGGATCACTACAGTGTGGGTTAGGTATTTCCCGAGTATTAAATGATTCCAAGGTTTTGGAATTTGGTATTTTGTCAAAATGATCCAGAATCCCTACTTCAGCCGTGGAATTTGTCTCTTTACTGCATGCTGGTACTTCCCGCCACCCCCCCACCCCCCCGTTGGTATTTGTCCAAAAGTCCCCTTCTTGTTCTGCTTTCACAATCTCTTAGCAACACATTCTCTTAGCTGCTTGTAAGCAATAGCCAGAAACTGGAAACTGTGTTGCTGTCTGTTTCTATTTGTGTGTTTGACTGCATGGTTTGCAAAAGCAGTGGTAGCTACAGATACAGCCAGCATGCTGTGGCTGGATCTCCATTGCACTGGAGATGCAAAGAATTGGTTTAACTTTATAGAGATACTATAGCTTGGGTTCCTCTGTGGCTTGGCCCCTGCATTTGTGTTCATTTACAAGCGTGCTTCATTCCACGATCAGAGAGAGGCAAGAGCAATTGCACATAGGGCACTGGCTGTGAGTATAAATACTCTAAGTTTACTCTAGTGTGCTAGGTCTGCACTGTCTCCTGTTCAGAGGTTCTGTGGAGCACAAGACTTAAGATAAAAGTTTACAGAAGTGACTATTTGTGTATTAATAGAAGGAGGTGAGCGCAAGGTAAAGGAGGCGATCCGTGGCCGAATTCACAATAAATTGGCTATGTTTCTGTTGCCAGCAGTCAAATGCAATCTCTGCTCTATTTTTAAATAACTTCTGGAAAATTTTCTTCAAGTCCTTTCTTTGGATTGTTTACCAGTCTGTAAACAGTTCTTTTCGTTCTTCCCGAAGTAATCTTTCCCTTCTGCTCCTACCTGTGCTCAGTAAGCTCCGCTATCACCAGTTCACCTAACAGCAGTTCATCTCAGTTGTTCACATTAAGCATTTACAACTTCTGTTGCTATTTTCTTAACAGAGATGATGCTTGGTTGGATAACAGAGGCTATATGAGCAAAGAGTCTGAATTATGTGGTCTGATCCTTAACATAGGATACTTTGTCATCAATAGCAATTGCCTTAATGATAAGAGCATGCATAAGTATGGCAGTGCCAGCGTTTTCAGAGTACAGGCAGTGTACTGGTCTTGTGTCTTGTACTTCCAGGGCTCTTCCTGAATAATTTCCTGTTTTGTTTTGGGTTTTTTTAATTGAGTTTCAGTGGAAATCTGATCTGGGTATTTGAGGTGTTCTGAAAATTGAAGAAGTAGCTGTAAACCTACAAGGAGAGATTTGTGTTGTATTACATGATTAAAATAAATTATTAGAACAAGTTGCACATAAACATGGCAGTGTTCTGTCACTTGCAATCCCAGTGTGTGTCTTCTGGAAAAGCCATTTATAACCTAAATAGAAGTTGTGGGCTTGATGTGGAGATACAAAGTACTCTTGCACAGGACATAATCCCATACTATTACAAGTATGCCATTACTGTCAACTTAAAACGTTGGGCATTTTTTTGGTGGGTTGTTTTTTTTTTTTTTTTAATTAGAGGTGGAGGTTTTTGTCTAGAATAACGGAGTGTCTGCCTGTGTCTTGTTTACATTTGATAAAACCTGTCACTTTGCAAGATCAAGGCTGACATTCTCTGGTTGCTTGGCATTAATGTCAGACTAATGAAAATAAAATTAACTGTAGCAACTGTGGTTTTTAATAGGCCTTGAGTGAAAAAGGAAGCAGTAAAAAGGAAGAATCGGCAGAAGCAACTGATGAGAAGTTGAAGAAGGAAGTTGAACATTTGAAAGTGGAGCTACAAAGGACATCAAATGGTAGGTATTGGTTAGGACTTCTTTGCAATTAAGAAAAAGATGATTATGAAAATATGTATGGTGTAATTTGAACACCTGAGTTAAATTGTAATTATTAACAAATTGAACTGATACATTTAAGTGATGTTGACTCATCTTCATTAATGACATGACCAGCACATGGAATCAATTGCAGGTTGCTTATAGGCATCAGACTGATCTTTCATGTTACGTATCAGCCACTCTCCCTGTATAAAACGGAGATGTGTGTGGTTGAGTTTTTTCTACAAAGCAGGGTTTCAGTCAGATAGCCGAAAAGTCCTTGACTAGTATTCTAAATATATAGATCTCCTGCAGCAGAAGTGTTAGCTTTTTTTGTCTACAAGGAAACCTGCCTTGCAATTTGTAACATAATACTTTTTTTAGCAGCTTCCGTGTTTAAGGTTTAGGTTGTCAAATCGGCTTTCTTGGCAACTCAAATTGAGATAGAAGCAGATTTTACCTGTTTGGTTCTGTCTGACTGGGATCTGTCAAGGTGTGTGATGCTTATGAACACCAGCTCATCTGAAATTAGTGTTTTTAAGATAACACTTTGTGACCATGTAAGCATTAGTCAGATGTTCAGACTGTAACAAAATACATATTTTCGTGGTACCAGATAGCATGTTGTCATAAAAACATAGCCCTGCTTTCATATTGCATGGAAGTGCTACAAAGCTGTAAAGATAACAACAAATGTTTCATGAATCATTTTTCATTGTCCACTCTGAAGATGAACAAGAACTATAGAAAACAGCTGTTTTCCGCGGGACTTGAGGCAACAATAATCTTTAAATAGAGGGTCTCATTAGTTCACATTCTCAGCCAGGTTTGATCGTGGGTTTTCCCTCCTCCTGCTCTTTTCTTAAAGAAAGGGGGGAAAACTGCCTTTGAAGTGACAGGAACAGTGAAAAACTTAAATGCATGTTTTATTTAAACTGGTGGTATGTAACACTAATATAATGTGAGCTTTTCAGTCAGGAATGCTAGAGAAAGCTAAGGAATAAATAGATTTACCACATGCTGCTTCAGCTGCATTCTCTTTGTGGGCTGTTGTCCATCCAAAAGATGTATAAATTAAAGCATGCTTGAGCCTTTTTTTAAGGGGAGAGTGGCGGAGAGGGTCTTTTCAAGGAAAGAATAGAAAATATTTACAACCCTTCCCCTGATGCCACCCCCCTCATCGCCAAAACAGAAACGTTAATTACCATCGTCAGCTAGATGGTTAAAATAAGATGTATCTTATTTTTTTAGTAAGTTTTCTTGTACGTTATTTTGAGCAAATAGCAAAGAGACTTAAAGATTTTATAATAACTACATTTGTAGACACAGCTTTCTGTGGAGTCTTACAGATTAAATGTGAATTGAATTTACTGTTTTCTTGTGAAACTTGTTCAAATGAGCAGGTGAATGTTGAGTTTCACGCTCGCTAAGTGTGAGCGATGCATTACACAGAAGTTGAGATTGAAAAGCTTGTTTTACCTCTTCTTAACAATTTTTTCATGCCAGTGGGCTCACATGACTAAAGTAATCTTTCCTTTGTGTCCACAAAGTGCAGTCCCTCAAATTTTGGGGGTATTTGGGGGTGGGGGAAGGGAGTGAAGAGTGTGTGAGGTATCACCTAGTAATGAAACAAGGCAAAACTAGTATAAAAAGGAAAACTTTACTGGTTTGGATTTTGGGGGGGTTCTTTTTATTTGTTTGTTTTTCAGCTATAGTGTCAGTAAGAGTAATAAATTCGAATTTTGTTTTTCTTCAGTTGGGGCATGGGTGGTTTTTTGCTACTCAGATGAAAAAAACAGGTATAATCTTTTTTACAGAGCAGTTTCAAATATGCATTGCTCTGGTCTGGTACATTTGTTAAGCTACTTATGCATAGTGATAGGGTGATAAATTAGTGTTCAGTAGTCCACGTGTTGAAAGGTGGGTTACCTCAATAGAGTGGCACCCAAGAGGAGTCCTAAATGGAAGTCTGCTTCCTAAATGTAAGTCATCTTTGTGTTTAAATAATGCAGTTTAGTGCTGTGACTTCACAGGAGATCCAAATTTTGTGTAAGGTTTTGATCCAATTTTTACAACTTCTGGCAGAGAAAATACTCTATGTCACATCTTTCTGAAATTCTGACTGAAATTATAGTGTAGACAGTGATTATTGCAGACCTTCAGAAGAGTCATCTCTAGTTCTTCAGCTTCCTATCTTTTACAGGAAACGCAGTCTACCTTGTATTTTTTTCCACTTAACTGCAAGTGAAATCCTAAGTTAAGAAGGCATTTTGCCACCTACTATGCTCTGAGCAGGTGGGGAGGAAGATGCAAATACAAGACAAAGAGACCAAGTAGTGAAATTACTAAAATCTGGGTGAAGGTTGGAAACGAGTGACAAAGATTTCAGTCAAATTTGTTTTCTTTTCAGACTTGACTTTACTATCCCCCCTTGATGCCCTTTTTCGCTTTATTGTGGAAGTGAAGGAAAGGGGGCTAGTTCTTCACTACCTTATCTCAGACCCACATACTGGGGGCTTTGTAGGCACCCAGCTGTGGGGCTAGCACTTTCAGAGCCTAAATCAATGGACGTGTAATAACATGACTATTTATAAATGTTCCGAGATGGTGTTTTATTGATACGCTTATATATTATAAAAAATGTCTGACTAATACCTATAAATAAATATACATACTCCTAGGAGCACCCAGTGCAGATGTGAGAATATGTCTAATGTGTAGCAGGAGAAGCAATTTCTGACAAAATGTTGATTCAGATAATTTGAAGGCTCTCAGTATGGCTGGTGGTCTCAGACCTGTAGGAATTTTATGGGGAAAGAAGAGATGCTATGATACTATTTCATTTTGATAGTTTTGAAAATTATCAAAAAAGCTACAAGAAAACAAACTATCTGCAACTGGAGAGGATGTCAGAGTATGAGAGAAGTTTCATAAAGCAGCTGTACTCACAGGGATCCTTGGGCTGGGGGCAGGAGGGGGACTTTTGGTGTGTTAACTTTCTTTTCTCACTCACAGATCCCACACTGATGTGTGAAATGTCCATTTGTTATTATGGGACCTTCTGAGCAGAAAGAAGACTTCTGCAATGCTGTGCTAGTCCACCCTCTATCTTGGGTCATGTTTTTGGTGACACTGTCCTAGTGTATGGTGAAGGCTACAGCTTCATTTACACAACAAAATTTTACTGGACTGCATCAAAAGCAGCGTGGCCTGCAGGTCGAGGGAGGGGATTCTGCCCATCTATTCCGCTATGTTGAGACCCCACCTGGAGTCCTCCATCTAGTTCTGGAGCCCTCAGCACAGGAAAGACATGGACCTGTTGGAGCAGGTCCAGAGGAGGGCCAGAAGAATGATCAGAGGGCTGGAACACCTCTTCTAAGAGGAAAGGCTGAGAGACTTGGGGCTGTTCAGCCTGGAGAAGAGAAGGCCGCAGGGAGACCTTACAGCGGCCTTCCAGTACATGAAGGGGGCCTGCAAGAAAGCTGGAGAGGGACTTTTTACAAAGGGCTGTAGTGATAGGACAAGTGGTAATGGCTTCATGCTGAAAGAAGGTTAGTTTAGATTAGACATAAGGAAGAAATTCTTCACTCTGAGGATGGTGAGGCCCTGGCATGGGTTGCCGCAGGGTTGAAGTCAAGTCTGGAGGTGGCTTTGAGGAACCTGCTGTAGTGGAAGGTGTCCCTGCCCATAGCATGGGCGTTGGAACTAGGTGATCTGTAAGGTCCCTTCCAATCCAAACCATTCTCTGAATTACTATTGATCAAGTTTTGCAGCAGAACACACTGGTGGCAGACTTCTGTCCAGCTCGTTGACCCCTTGCTCTTCTAACAACATTTCATGGCAAATGACATGCACCTAAAGCTTCTACCTGCATCTGATGGAGCATAACGGGCGTTGTGGTCACCAGCATCTGTGTTGAGTTACTGAGCTATGACCTTACTGCACCTTTGAGCTGAGTCTGCAGTGCCACGTGGAGACAAGACCCAAAGACTGCTTTGTGTCTCTGCCATTAGGATTTTACTTGGTGAAATGTGTACTGACTCACCGAAGTCATTTAGGTGCTTTTGAACTTTAGTTAAACTTTTTCTGAAAACACTCTCTATTTATGTATATTGTTGTCGTAGGCATACAGTGGGGCAGGAGGAAATTCTTGTGAAACTTTGATACATCCTTTAATGAGGTTTGGTTTGTGTACAGAATGTGTCACGAGTGCTTTTTGTTTCATGGTTGCATAGTGCTATAGGAGACAGGAGTTGAGAGCAACAAGTCATGCGCAGGGCTGGTTTTGAAATAGTTTTTAGTTGTTGGCTATTCTAGAAAGTATGCATGTGCAGGTGTACAGCTATCACTTAAATACTAAGATTATTAGGTGTTATAATACAGACATTGTGAATATGTTTCATAGAACTCTTGCTGCCAGTGACAGTTCAGCTCGGCCTTTGTGTTGCCAGGCAGGCGCGTGCTGTGTATGAAAACTATGTTTGTGTTGAGCTCCACTGAAGGACTCCACTTTTTATAAACAAACAGATAAACCCCCCCACACATACACATATCCCAAACTATCAGCTTTCTTTTGTAAGCTGGGAATAGGAGATACAAGTTAAAAGAATTGGCCACAGTCTCATGTTATTTAGCCGATGGCAGAGAGATGTTTAGAGACAAAGTCCATCTTACTTAACCTTTTTAACTGTGAGATCATCACCTTGGTGGGAGTCATTGCACGATGTCACATGTAACAAGAGTCGATATTCGTATCTGTTGATTTGAAGGGATGGCGCTGCGTACAGCAAGGCCATTTATGCCATCTGAAGATGCTGTAACATCCCTTTTGTAACAAAATTTCATCTGAGGTTGCAAAAGGTACTTGGAGCAAATTTCTGTGTAATTTTTTGGTCCTGCTTTCTTGTTTTAAACTTTACCTGACCGTTACATCCTAAGGAGAGAATTAAGAATTAGTATGGAATTACTTGACTGGAGTTGTGTTCCCAGCTTTACAACGTGTTTATTGGCAAATCTCTTGACCCGTCAGTGCCTAAACTCTTAAATGTGAGTAGCTTTTTCTCAACTTGAGGACTCTTAAAAGAGAGGGATCTTTCTTAGTCTTGAACTAGTCCAAATCATTTGAGTTTTAGACTTGTATTGTGAGCAATGCTAATTTAAGTTCCAGATCGTTTCCTTAGTAGCAAGCACTGTAACTCAAGTGATTTAGTCAGACCGGGACTAGTAGTTGTGCAGTGAAATGCCCGAAGAATCATTCCTTGCTTTGGTTGCTGTTTGTTTTTGTTTTACTGTTTGTTTCTCCATCCTTGTTGAAATGAGAAGAAAATGTAAGTGCTACAGCTACTGGGTAACCTCTTCAGTAGTAACAGGTACTGTGGTAACCTCTTCAGAGCGATTTTATTCCTCATCATGCCTCAGCTTTAGAGGAATTGGAAGTGAACAGTCTATCCTGGAACAGGATACGGAGAACGTGGTAAGGGGAGGACAAGATGTCTGCTCCTACCACACTGTACATGTTGCATTAGTTTATGGACCTCCAGTCACATATTAAGTATAAAGGGATAACGTTTTACATAAAACTTGTCTGTTTGTATACTGCCCTAAGATTTTTCTTAGAAGGAAAGGGGAAGGAATTAAAAAGGATGGCCCACCTCTCACAGTATTGAGGCTGGATTCCAGTTTTGGGACTTACTGACTATTCCTCTCTTTAGATGCATTCATGTAGAAGCGGTGTTCTCACCTCCTGCCTGAGTAAATGTTCATGCATTTACTTGATAGGAACAGTCAGCTTCTGGGTTTTGCTAGTTGCTAGTCCAGCTGTTCTGTCTCCTCTGAGGCAAAGTAACAGGCCAGATGGAAGCCAGAAATAATAACTGACTGTATTGTGCATACAAAGGATCTTCTGTTTTCTGCTGGATCAGTGTTTGTGTGATACAATCCATGTGACAAACAGTACACCTGTACAATTGACTTGGTTGCACCGCAGTGCTCATGCAGTGGCAAAATGGTTGAGCAGTGATGTATGGACAGTTTCCGTTGTTTGACAAGAAGACATCCAGAGAAGCTGGCGGACTGTGGAATTCATGTTGTCAAAGGTTGTGTGGCCCCAACAGCAATGAGTCTGGGTTTGGCTTTTGGGTTTCTTCATGTTGTGGTGGTGGGGGTTTTTTTTGTTTTTGTTTTTTGTCTGTAGCCAACACAGGTGGAAAGGACAATCTGTCCTTTGCTTTTTATTTTTCGAGGGTTAGGTGAGATATTCCTGTCATACATCTGTTTTGGTCAAAACATTGAAACAATGCAGCGGTTTGTTTGCTTTCTTGGTTTGCAGGTACTTCTAGATATTTTGTTCATGTTTTAAAGATAAAGTAGCTTTTAGTTGCAACTGAAGTACTGTGCTGCTGCTTGTAAACAGCTAAATAGTATTTGATCAATAACATGGAGTTACGACTTCTTCAGAAATGAGATATTGTTAATTTTCACTATAACTGTGTACAAGAACTTTTAAACAAAGGCAAAATTTAGCTTTCTAATTAGCAGATTCTTGAAGAGGTGAAATGGCATTTGTTTTTTGTCTACGTCTTAAAAATCAGAAGCTTATCAAATTGTCACAAGTTTATTTTAGAATGATTTCCAAATTTTACTGTTGAATATTTTAAACCGCAGCAAGATCAGAGAGAGAAAGTAAATGCAGTGGGGTTTGGCTTGTCGGATGTGTGAAAATCATGGTTATTCCAAATACCAAAACCTTTAGAAAACGGTTTTTATATTGATGCTGTCAAGAATGCATTAAAGGATGAAAGATAGCTGTGCAAAAGTATGGAAATGAAAGAAAGGATGTAAAGAGGTGGGATGAATTTTTGACCATGTTGGAATCAATAGATGTAAGTGTAACTAACTTCAGTAGACCAGAATTTCAGGCTACATAGAAGTCCTATTGCTGGAAAACCACTTGCAGATTTTTAAAATGAGAACGATTTTGAATCTGTACATTCAAATTAATTGAAGTACCAGAAATGCTGGGGGAGGGTCTTCCTTTTTGCGTGTTTGAGAGTGGTCAAATCTCTTGTGTCCTGATGTTTTAGGAACTAGCTCCCAAAGTGAACCATAGTTCCCACCGGAGTGCTTGTAGCTAGGTGTTTAACAAAAACCACATCTAGCTCCTCACCTTTTGAGAACAGGCTCTTACAGAGGTGCTGCAATTCTTGGGTGTCTTAGAGGTCTCTGGGAAAGAACAGTCTGTCTAGGGGAGCTCATGGTCGAAGAATAGTTCCACATTTTTGGAACAAGGAAAATTGCAGTTATTTCTTTTATTTGTACCATCAAGGTTAGGCTTTTTAAATACGGCTGTGTGAGGCAGCCTTATAGGTCATTAACAACATTTCTCGGTTTTACCATGAATAAATCAAGTTTTAGGGAATGTCTGTGCTGCTACAGCAGAGAAGTATAAAGATACCTGAGATAGCTATAGCAGAGGAATATAAAAATGTCTAAATGACCTTACTTGAATGCTTACATAAAAGCGTAGGAGTAATGGCTTTACGAAACTTTATGCTGACTTACCCTGCACTGTAAGTTAGCCTCCATGGAGTCCTGGGCTGTTTCGTACTGCAGTAGACACATGCTCTCAGTTTATTGCTATTGAGATTGTAAGTAGAGTAATAATTACTTTTTCTCATGTTAAAAAGCCATTCACTGTTGTCTGTCCTACCACCACCATTTCTGCTTTCTCATCCATAAAGTGATGCTTCTGATGAATTAGCTCCTTCATGATGAAATATATAACAGGGTGAAAAAAGGAGGTCTATGCTCCTGTAGTAATGTATTATATCTCTTTCTCTTTTCTCCCACATTTTCTAGATGACCTCTGTTGCTTTGCTAAGATCTTGCCCAGTGCTGAAGTTCCCTCTTTGTTTTAAGAGGGCTGACAATTTTGAGTGTGGGGTTGTAGAGTTTTCTTTTTCTAGAGTTGTCTTCTGCAATGTGACAGAACACTGTATTCATCACTGATTTGTCACTTCTGTCAAGAATTTATTGGTCTTGTACAGCCCCTTCCTGCTGCATGCTGCTGTTCCTGAACACAAGTCATTCTCCCTCCCCTCCTTGTCCTGCACATCTCTCCCTGTGTCCATCTGTGATGCTGTCTTTTAAATTTAAACTTTTTTTATAGGAAGGACTGTCTAGTGCAGTAGAGCCCCAATACATAAGTAGGGCTCTGAGGAACTGCAGGAATACAAGTAAGAATTAAAACACTAATTCTCATGTTTTACAGCTCTGCACAAGGCAAATGAGGAAGTGACTGCAGTTAAAAAGCAGTCTGAAGGCCTTAAAAAAGAGTATGATCATCTGATGAAAGAATATGAACGGCTTCAGGTAGGTGGCTGTGGATCACTATATGAGCACAATGTTCTGAAATTGTACCGGCAAAATTCTGCTTGCTTGGTATTTATTATGCCAGAGAATTGACCAAAGTCTTTAGTATAGCATGAAGTTACAGTGGGCAGCACTCTCTTAAACTTCACCAAAATAGTACAATTCTGTTTTTGAAGGACTGGACAGCAAAGCTATTAACATTTTCTTTTTTGCACTTCAGGTGATAAAGCTCAGGTCATCATTAGACTCGATTTTGCTGTCACTTGGGAAATAAGATTCAAATAGTTTTGCATGTGATGATCAAACAGAAGTCTTGTAAGAAAATGACAGAGTAGTGTGTGTGGTGTATACATCATTTAGAAGAGTAATTTTATTTTGTTTGCTCTTTAAACATGCCTTTGCAAGACTGGATTATAAATGTTGCAACGCTGTTGATTAGCAAGAACAACAGAAAAAAACAACGAAAACCCAACAAACAGCCTAGGCTAAAAACAGGCTACTATAAAAATCCACACTGAAGAACAAAGTAATAAAAAAAGAAACACAGCAAGCAAAAGCTGAATTAGCAGTTTGATTTGGTATGCATATACGCATGGCTATAATACCCAGTACAGTAATTGTTTCTGGTAGAACTGGGAGCTCGTTCTTTAAGTTGTCTGACAGGTGTTTGTATCTTCCATGCCTAACGTCTGCTTCAGAATTCAACCAGAATTCAATAAAAATGAGTTAGCCTGTTTAAAAGTAATGGTCTTGGAAGAAAGTAAGTGATTAAAATTATGATGACCTGCTTTTCAAGAAGAGCTGTTTGTTGGTTGTATGTTAATAAAATAAAAAAAGGCAAATTTGAGCTGGTTATAATCTTTTTCCTGCGCTCTGTGAAGCCGCTTACTGATTCCCAGCCTCACTCTGTACTCTTACAGAGATTGCTCAACTGATGTCTGTATTTGAGTTAAGACCACCGTGCATGTCCTATCTTTGTTGTGCTTCCCTGTGCAACGAGCCGTAGTAGTCCTGCTGCATTTCTAACAGTCTTGTGGTCTAGAACACACATCCTTACAGTTTTCAGTGTTTACCTCTGAATGGAAAGAACAGAAGGTACTGACCACACAGTAGATGCAGCTCCTAAGGATAAATCAGTTGGTAGCAGAAAACATTTTCTGCCGAGTTTGCTGCACGGTTCAGCTGTAACGTGAGCAGGGAGGAGAAGAAGGCTGCATGGCAGGTGCTGTGCTAGGATCAGAAGCGCACCTGCTATGTGGGGTGGTATTGATGGGACTACAACTTTGAAGGGTGTATAGTGAACAAATTGGGTATGGCTGCAAGGGGGCAAAATGTGCCATCTGGAGTCAAGGGTTTCTGATCTTGCCAAACATAAATTATTTTTAATCTGTCTCTCTTCAGGGCACTTTCAATGAAGCAGAAGACAAGAAAGACCTGTAGGTGCATCTAAGACGGATAGCTTCAGTACAGTTGCTTCGATGTGAAAAGCCTTGTGCTGTTTAGGCTCCTGATGCTTAGCTGAAATGAAACTTGATTTTTCTGAAAAACACATGCACGGCAGGTCACTCTTCAGATTCCTCTAATATGTCTTGGTTGCCTTGGTTGCCAAAATATTCTGTGTTCCAAATAAAATGTTAAGTGGCTTACCCGATTTATCATGGAGTTTGTCACTGCTTTTTTCAGGAGAAACTCAAAAACCTTTCCATTCCATCTGGAGCACCTTGACTGTTCTCCAAGCTTTTGCCTTCCAGCATGGTAACAGATCATGCACCATTTGCTTATAGCATTTGAGCAAGGTTGTATATCACACTATATTGTAAAAACACAATTGCCTAAACGTCCTTTGCAACACCTGTTTGGAGTCTTCAAATATTCAGTTACCAGTGGGCTGAAGAAGGCTGAAAGCTTTTTGTCATCCATTCCACTTTTGTGGGAAATTGAATGACAATCAATCTAAGGAAAATAAATAAAGAAGGAAAGCTGCATTTCTAAATCCATCTCACTAGCTTGTGACTTTCACTTAGCCACATGGAGGAGTGTATTTTAATTAATATTTTGCATGCCTCTGGTTTATTTTGCTTCAATATACTGGGTTATTTCAGTTTTCATAACCAAAGTTTTGGGTTGGTTGGTATTAATTAACATTCTGTATTTTTATACTGTTTACATCTGTTTACTCTGTATGTGCCACCTAACTTCCTTGGCCTTGCTAAGTAAAAATTCTTTTTAAATGTAGATAGTTGGGTTTGTTTTGTTTTGTTTTCATGGATACGATACCTCGAATAAATGTGCACTGTTTTGCATAAGCCCTTTTTGGCATTCAGAAAGTTGTGTCGAGTTTCTTTTTTTGTTACTTGGTTCCAGTTTATAATTGAAAGTTGGATTGTGGGACTCAGTTCCGCCACTTTTGTGATGTCTCAGAAAATTTGCCGCCATCTCAAGTCTCCCCTAGCTACAGGGGAAGGCTTCCCACACCTGCAGCTCAACTGGTCACTGCTGGTTAGCAACAGAAGAACCACTGACCAGACAAGAACTGTCACAAACTCTAAGGGGAAGAGGCTCACCAGGAGCAACCGAAAGATCCCACCTTGCATGACTGGTGCAAAATGACTGGCGCAAACAGATGGGTATAAAAGGACGATCTTAGAGACTGCGTGCGCGCGCCCACCACCGACTGCTGAGGATGATCAGCGGAGGACCCACAGGATGCTGCGGGATCCAGGGCGGTGACTATTCTTCTTTTCTCCTTTCCCAGTACTATTTTATTTTCTCTCTCCTCTTCTTTGTTTCCTTCCTTCTTTCTTCCTCTCCACCATACTCCTTATGCTAGACTATTACCTCCAGAGCTGTAATAAATAAAATCGGGAGTTTGGTTTACCGTTACCGTGCCTCGATTGTGCTGTGTCCAAACTCAAGGATCGTGAATCTATTTTAATCAGTTGGGGATTTAGGAGGAGTACTCTGTCCGCAGGCAGGGGTGTGCGTAGGAGGGTCTGCCGGCGTTGTGTTGAACGACAGGCGGGCTCCGGGAGGGGCTGACGGCATTGTGTTAAACCATAGGCGAGCCCTGGGAGGGGCTGATGGCATTGTGTGAGCCATAGGCGGGCTCCGGGAGGGGCTGACTGCCTTGTGTTAATTTTTGAGTTGCCACCAGGGGCCAAGGGCCAGGCGACTACTGAAACTTTGTGTTAGTAAAAATCTTAAGCGAAACCTGACATTTTTAAATTGGCGTCATGGACAAGATCCTTGAGCTTTGGAAGGTACCAGTAGCTTAAACAGGAACAGCTACGGCGATGGCAGGCAGGGAAGTACTATATGAGTTATTGAGGAAATTCAAGGCATGTCACTCCTCATCAGGGGACAAGTGGGCTCAAACTAATTGGTGTTATCTAGGAAAGCTTGTAGAGTGAATTGAGGCATTGCAGTTGGAAGCTAAAGAAAGGTAAAGCTATGATATGTGCTGTGTCGGGTGCGAGCTTAGTAGAGGCCAGAGAGTAGGATAAACAGGAGCAAGCTTCAGTGTGGTTGTTACAGGGGCAGACAGCAAGCTTAGAACAGGATAATAAAGGGTTGAAGGAACAGGTTAAGGCCTTACAAGAAAAGTCAGGAAAGGAACAAGAAGATATTGTGTCTTATTCAGTCTTGTTCAACTTACTCATCAATGACCTGGATGCAGAGACAAAGCGTACACTCAGCAAGTTTGCTGATGACACAAAACTGGGAGGAGTGGTGGATACACCGAAAGGCTGTGCTGCCTCGGGGTGGACCTGCTGGAGAGCAGCTCTGTGGAGAGGGACCTGGGTGTCCTGGTGGGTGACAGGTTAACCATGAGCCAGCAGTATGCCCTGGCTGCCAAGAAGGCCAATGGGATCCTGGGGTGCATTAAGAAGAGTGTGGCCAGCAGGTCGAGGGAGGTTCTCCTCCCCCTCTACTCTGCCCTAGTGAGGCCCCATCTGGAGTACTGTGTCCAGTTTATAAATGCTTATAAATATCTGAAGGGTGGGGGTCAGGAGGATGGGGCCAAACTCTTTTCAGTGGAGCCCAGCGACAGGACAAGGGACAATGGGCACAAACTGAGGCACAGGAAGTTCCGTCTGAACATGAGGAAGAACTTCACTCTGAAGGTGACAGAGCCCTGGACCAGGCTGCCCAGGGAGGTTGTGGAGTCTTCTTCTCTGGAGATATCCAAGACCTGCCTGGACAAGGTCCTGTGCAGCCTGCTGTAGGCGACCCTGCTTCGGCAGGAGGGTTGGACTAGATGACCCACAGAGGTCCCTTCCAACCCCCACCATTCTGTGATTCTGTGATTCTGTGAGGTGTTCACAGGAAGCCTTAGTAGAAAACCTGACAAAAGAAAACTCAACAGGAAGCTCTTTCCTGCCCTGATGGTTACCATACAAGCAAATGTTTGCACCCTACCAGGGAGTCAGAGGAAGTTAAAACCCCACATAGCTCACTGCAGCAACCTACACAGTCTTTAAGACCATTAAAGTAGAATATGCTTATGACAATGACAAAGATTATACCCCTAAAATGTTAACCAAGGAAGTACCTTATACGGCAACCGAATTAGCTAAACTAAAAAAAGATTATTCATGTAATCCAAGAGAATCTGAGGCAGAGTGTGTTTGGAGAGTGTTGTTAATGGGTGGAGACCAAATAATGTTAAGTGTAAGGGAGGCTGAAGGATATTGGGGACCTGGAGTATTTCTAGTCACCAGTGATCATAGAGCCCCATGGTCACTCACATAGCGAGCAGCTTATTGCGCTGGAGGTCTAAACCCATCAGAATGGGGAGATCCTCTCGCACTTACAGGGTCAGTGGATCAACTAGCAGAAAACACACAAAAAGCAGCGTGCTTACAGATGATGTATAACCGAGAATTAAAATTAAAGCAAGAATCCCCAATGATGATACCGGTCAATCCTGAAAGAATGACTCCCCTTACTCAAGGCTTACCCAATTCGTTAAAACCTTTAGGGATCCAATTGCAAAATACCATTACCAATACCCCGCCAAGCACCTGGGTGACAGCGGCTTTAACAGGAGTGCTGATCCCAGATCACCATACTCCAGCGCAAAAAATATGGACCTGGGGGGAGGTAGCTCAGGAGTTAATTATGGGCAGAAGTATGGTCCAATTAAAACCAAACCCAAAAATATAAGGTGGACAGAGGCAAAATCCTCTCCAGTAAAAACAGCGAATCCAGATAAACCGAAAGAGGATGGGATGTCCAGGAGGAAAGCGTTGTGGATAATAGGAAGACAAAAAGGAATAGCTTTGAAGTACATGGGTGGGGTCCCTACAGAACACTTAGAAAAGTTTATATTAGAATGGCCAGAAAAAAACAAAATGACTTCCAATGGTAAAGAACGGGTAACACAACCCACCACCATGGACGACGAAAAGGTACCCTCCGCCCCCGTCACGGTGTTGGAAAAGCTTCCCGAGCCCTCCTCTTAGAAGGAGGGAAACTAGTTCCTTCACCTGTCTCTAGCGGGCGGACAGGCGAAGGGTGGATGCATATTAGGCAGCTCGCTCTTACCCCGCGAGGTGATTTGGTTTTGTTCTGTGTTGTAGGACCAAAACAAATACCTGTTCCCTTCTTAATAGATGTAGGAGCTCAAATTTCTGCTATACGAAAATGATGCCCAACAATGCGGGATTAAACCCTCCAAAACACCCTTAATGGTATCAGATGCATTTGGAAATGTTACGGTCAAAACTTTAGTGCAAACCTCTCTGAGACTCCCCGGAGATGATAATTCAATCAGTGTGCAGATGGTAATGGGGGAATTTCCATCAAACTTGTTAGGAACAGACATTTTGAAAGGACGTCAATGGACAGACACCAGGAGGTGCCTGGACATTTGGAATAGCTAAGTTAAATCAGAGATTCCTGGTCCCCGGCCCTCCTCTTCCTCCCTCTAAATTAACCAATATAAAACCATATTCTTTGCCTGCAGGAGCCAGGGAAGGCATAGCACCCGTACTGGCAGAACTGTGGGAACAAGGAATTGCAATTCCCACCCACTCACCTTATAACTCCGCAGTTTGGCCAGTGCGAAAACCAAACAGAAAATGGTGACTGACGACTGATTATCATCGATTAAATGCTAATACAGGACCGTTAACTGCTGCTGTGCCTAACACCACCAAACTCATTAGTACCATTCAAGAATAAGCTCATTTAATTTTGGCAGCTACTGATGTTAAGGAGATGTTTTTCGTGGTCCCCCTCCAACCCAAAGATCAAGCCCATTTTGCTTTTACTTGGGAAGGACAAGAGTTTACATTTACTAGATTACCCCGAGGATTGAAACACTCCCCCGCTCTAGCGCACCGTGCCTTAGCACGGGAATTAGAACTAATTCTTCCAGAAAAGGAGGTTAAAATCCATCAGTATACAGATGGTGTGTTCATGGAGGGGGAAGCAAG